TTGTGAGAGAGAGACTGGCTTGCTAAGTTGTCATTATCATTAAGTAATAGACATTCTGCAAATTATGAGCATCTGATTTGGAAACAGTCTGTACCTGTTCCTGATTCATTGCATGTACCATCTTGATCTCAACTCCGGAAATCCACAAAGCTGTCCAGGCCCTGGTGTCGTTTGGTGGCCAGAATGTGGAATAATATAGACCACCTCCTTTCTGTCAAAATAGTCATGCCACGTGCTGCTCCTTCTCCTTATCTTGATTCCGTCACAGGTGGTCTCCGCTCGCTCTCTCCGCTCCCTGCTCCCTTCCTTCCTCTCCCTGTGTCTCTCCTCTTCTCTCTCTCTCTCTCTCACCTCTTCAATCCATGTGCTCCTTTACCTCAGTCTTCCAAATTATGCTCTTCTTCTCTAAATAAAATATCTTTGTTCTAACCTCTTTTCATATTGTTTGTGAGCCAAAACAAGATTCTGATCACGGTGTAACGCCACTCTACATATTTTAAGAGAAGGAAATTCATTCATTTTGATATTAAATTTGTCACAATAAAGGGCTAGTATAAATCTCTAAGTGCTCATCTCAAAGAAAGGGACTGAAGATTAGAAGGAAGGAGAATTTATTCCTATTTTCTACTGCTTTAATGGTTTGACTTTTTTTATCCATTGCCCATTTAATACTTTCATAATATATTTTTTTAAGTTATCCATGTGGTGGTAGTTTGATTGGAACAGTTGTTTTTCAATTACAAATATACAAAATCTCCATTACTTTATGGGTTAAAATAAGCACTGTGGGCCAGCCTGAGCATCTGATCACCATTTATAAGGTCATTATCCTTTTCAAGTTTCATATACAGTAACTGGCTTACAGACAAACTTTTGGATTACAACCTATTTTTAAGCCATGAAGAGCCATGTTGATTAAAGTCAACCAATTTTCAAACTTCAGTATGAAGGGTATATGGATTATCTAGTGTCTAAACGGGAAGTAAGATGTTATAGAAGTTACATGCACAAGTCCATTTCCTAGTTCTAGCCTCTGCAGGCAAATGATCATCTCCCCACAGTATGATACTACATAGCTAATCCAGTGTGTCAGACAGCCCTGCTTAATAAGCAGAGGACACTCGACCACGGAAAGCAAATATTATATGTATACTATAATATATACTATATATAGTATATATAGTAAACATTTATTGTATTTTATATAATATATATAGTAAGCACATATTGTACTACGTGTCTTGTGTAATATGTTTAGTAAACATATTATGCTTGCATTTTCCAAACTTAAACACATTGTTCTTCCCCTACTGTGGTGAAACTTTAATCATCTCTTCATCCCACTATGATATTAATATATAATTAAATAATAAGGGCAATCATTTTCCTGCATTCTTAAATAGAGGTTTTAATCACCTTATCTGAGTGCACAAAATTTACATCTGATACTGAAGAAAATCATGTTTCATGATTCAAGATACAACAGTTTCAGTAGAGGAATGGTGGTTCTGCTCCAGTGTTGTGGTAGACCGTTGGCTATGGGTATGGTGGGATTTTTTTTTTTCTTTCTTTTAAGGAACCAAGCTCTGGTTGGTTGCTTTGTTCATTAGGACATACAGCTAAGGAGTGTTTTGCAACCAGACATGATCTCTGACGGGGATGGGGGAGGGGCTGGTGGGCTGAGTTCATCTGAGCCTCAACATCAGTTTTTCCTGTTGACAGCGATTTTGTTTTAGGAGCAAAACTGCATTGTTCCCTGTACATCAACTGATGAATAGTAGTTCTATCTTGTTAAAAGGATATATTATTCATAGTTTTAAAGGAAGAAAAGGATCTCAGTTCAGATTCACAGTTCCCAGCCTGTATTTCTGTCATTCAAAAAAAAAGAAAGATGACAGAGGAAATGTTTACATCAGTTTAATAGGCATTAGCTTTATTTTTCAAAACACTCTGTTTTAAAGCACAATAGACTCTGCAGTTGTTTATAAATTTAAGGTATTCATCAGTGTGAAATAATTATTTCCTTTCCCCATTTCCTCTTATTGGAAAAAAAAATACACTCAGTCTCCTAGCAAGACACAATCCATTTTGCTAAGTTATTTGTCAGTTTTTATGAAGTGTGTTTACTGTCACCGGGGCAGAGGTTTAGACCAGATGCAGGATTAGCGAGGCAGTGTGACATACGGTGCTTTTGTAGGTCATGGGGTGTGTTTGGTGCGCTAACTATCATGGATTTATCTTATCCTTGTTTAACCGCTGAGCAGAAAGTGAGCCTTCCCGGTATTGTTCCATTCATGTTCCTCTGCACTCATTCAGAAGTCTGACACTTCCTTTGCCTGGAAGATTAAAGGGGCAGTGTGGTATCTTTTGATGATGTGCAAAATAGCCCCTCAGTCCACGTTCCTTGGACGATGCTAACCACTCAGAAGTTGAAATGCTGTTCATCTGCCCTGGAATTAACCAGAAACCTGGTTTTCTTTTCCTTCTTGACAAGTTCTCTTAAAAGCATAAACTTTTTCTCTCTCTCTCTCTCTCTCTCTCTTATTTTTAGTGTTGATCAGGGAGAGAAAGGAAATATGGAAACAAAAAAATAAACAGTACTAAAGAAAAGGAAATATGTAAAACAATGAAAAGCACAGAATTGTGCTTTTTCTTTCTGTGATAATCTTTCAGTAGGTGTTAGGTTGTGATGGTGATCCTTTAATCCTGTGGCTTATCTATCACCCCATTATATATTATTTTCTCCCTTATGAGAAAAGCAGTGTTTATTATCACAGGTGGCAAAACACAGAAGTAAAAAACAAGCAGAGAGGTTACATTTAATCACTTTAAGCGGGTTGCATGTTTGCTTTTTTTTTTTTTGCGTTCGTTCCCAAGCGCGAAGCCTGTAAACCGAGGGAGGGAGAGGACAGACTGACTCTCTCATGCACGTGGCCGAGATGGGCCAGGAGAACAGGTGCTGAGCCCATGTGAAGATAAACATTAGATGGTTGTTGGCGATATTTAGCCAGAGAGCTAAAGAAAGAGTTCAGAAATACCATTGTGCTACTGTTCAAATATTTACTAATTGAACCTGGAAGGGAAAAAATGTTGGCCACCTCATGTAGAATTCCTTGTTCTTTTCATTCTTTAAACAGCGTCTCAAAGATCGAAGAGAAGGGGATTGTTAATCTAAGAAAGAAATGTGAGCTTTGCTTATGGAGTTTCAGGTATCCCCAATGTGTACTTCAATAAGGAAATACAGTTTGGCAATCTTGCATTTGTCAAAACATTCTTTTATATTTCTTGCCTGTTTATTTTAAGAGGTGATTTACCAGGCGGGCAGATTAGAATGTTTACTACGCACAGTGTGTCTTTCCTCTCTCTCCGTGGCTGTAGCCCTGGCATTAAGCACACCACAGTGAGATGTCGGGAGGGTATTCAACATGAGCATGATGATTTAGAAAGAGCTGGGAAGTCGGAGCAAGCAGATACTTGAGACACAGTTTGTCTTCCAAATATTTGAATGTGTGTTGCTGCCTACTTTTTAAGTTTAACGTTATTATTTTCACATCTATGAATTTTGGAAGATTTAAAAAGACGATACCCCATGGACTTTCTTAGGAAAAAGGACAGTTACTGGAGAATTTGCCCAGAAGGGGTAGTGCCTTTAAAAATACTGCTAATAAGTTTTATATTATGCAGCAGGTCTTTCTGATACATTTTTGTTGTTTTCTGTTCTTTGATTTGAAGCAACCCCTCTTGTGGCATTGAATGCAGGCTGAGAGCATTCATTCATTTAAGCTCAGGACTCAAGTAATAACTAGAGTTAGCTGTTTCCTCTCTAAAGGTAGGAGAGCTAATGAGAAACACAGATTAGGAGCCAAGATCTATTCTGAGATTACGATAAAATGTCCTAACGGAAAGTTTAGGGTGAAATGAAAGACTGAGGACATAATTATGCTTTTCTGGGACAGAGTCTTGAATGAGGCAAACCAGCTTGCTAAAGTTCCTATATGACTTTAAATAGCCACATTCTCTACCATACCAGCATTGTGATGTAATATCCTTATAATATTTAATAATTAGTCTACTATTTACACAATTTGTTTAAAACTCCCTTAGAATATATGTAGCCCGTATCAAGAAAAATTCCAGGGTGATTTTGGGTTTTGCATAAACAGCTCCCAGGTTACATGTGAAAGAAAAACTGAGCTTTCAATATCCTATTTTGGTTAAACTTTCTATAGAAAGTTTGTGAAGCAGGGGAATCATCGTAGCCCCGAGAACATGACCGTCTGGTCACGACATAACTGCAGCAAAACTGGCCGTGCACACTCATCCCACGTGGGGTGACCTCCACAGCCGGCTGCTGGCCCCGATGGGGGCTGCAGTGCCCAGCGCCCTCTCACACTTGGAAAACCTGCCCCCATTTACAAATGACAAACCCTCCGGGGTGAAGCCCTCGGAATCTGAGAAGCATAAGGTCCGCTTTATTTAATTTCCTCTCATTTACCCAGAGTCACAATCTATTTTAGTAAATAAATTCAGGAAATTGGTAAAGCACTTTACTCCATCCGTTATGTATCAGTAATTAACATGATTGTCACGTTTTTCCTGGCTCCGGGGGCTGCTGTTGCTTACAGCTTCCCTCACATGCCTGCGACCAGTTTATAACATCCCTGGTAATGGGTGTTACTGAGTGTAAACTATTTAAACAAACAAAACAGCTACACGCTTTGCAGAGAAATGCGCTTCCTCTGTTTTATTCACAAAGATTCCTAACCTTAGAGATTTTCCTGTATTGATTCTGGCATTCTTTTCAAATGACCCTTTGCACTTTTCACCCACGACTACTTTACACCCTGGGATAGAATAAAAGAAGTGATAATTCATTCAAAGGCATCAGCAAGCATCTCTTTCTTGCTCTAATCCCCCAGCCCCTTTATTTTGGTTGTTACAACAGAGCCTATCTTAATAGCTTCAACTGTTCACCAGGTAGAACTGATTCCTTTTCCTACCTTCATTAGCCACTGCGTGTTGTTCTCCATGATGTTCTCCAGCACTTGCAGTCTCTGCACAGAGTCGTCATAGTCTGGCGGCGCGTCCCTCTGCACGGCATTCGGGACGTAGGAGCTGGAAGAAGAGCGGCAGTTGTCTGTCTCGGGCAGGAGGAAAGTGTAGCTGCAAGAGCCGTGCTGAACCTGATACTGTCTCTTCCCTATGCTGTCCATGCTTTTCCGAAAGTTGTTATAGGCTGCGGCTAAGACAAGATCACAGCTCAAAGTAAAGAAAACAATCTGCCACATTCTTTCTTTTCTTTTGGTAATAAACCACCAGCTTAGCAAACTTCAGGGCACATAAGACTCCCGAGTCCTAAGCTGTCCTCTCAGATGCAGTGCTCTGCTGCCATGGCTTAAGGTCCATCAATGAAAATCTTCTCTTTCCTCCTTTTCTAGCAGCAAACGTGGTTTTTGATGCTGTCTTCTCTCCGGTCCTGCAGTGAGCTGTCAGATTGCAGCAGGACGAGTAAGCCTGCTTACTTGCGAGGGCCGTATTCGCTGTACAGATCAGCGTTAATGCTTCTTTGTTTCTCTTCCTCCAGATTCTGTGGTGTTAGGATCCGAATCAATCACTTTCCTTTCCTTATATGATAAGTTGATAAGAGCAGCCAGACATGTGTAGTGAGCTGCTCCGCCCTCCTGGCTTGTCCGTTATCTTCCTGTAGGGGGGTCACTAGCCAGGCAACAGGAAAAATCTGAGCATGATGCTGCTGTCCAACCAGGACTATATGCTGCAGAAACCCTCTGGGAAAATCCGATCAGTTACAGGACCCCTGGGTATTTCAGAGGCACCACCCTAATTGAGCATTTCCTAGAGAGAGCAGTGGGTCTCTTGTGTCTGAAACTGATTTCACAGTGCTAAGCTGGTGAAATATCTGGGGTAATAACTTTAACTTTAAAGTACAATGAAAGTTCCTGTTTTTTCCCTTTAGGAATAAAAATACTACAAATATGTCAGGACTTTGGTTTATTTTTGTTATTACAAACAAAGGAGAAGTCGTCTTGCTCTTGTAAACTCTTTGCTTTTTCATAGGGAAAATAGTTTCATCAGTATTACTTGGTTTTTGAACTATTAGCTAAGTATACAAAATTTTCATTTTAAAGCAGTTAGATCTTCCTTGATTAAATCAGTTTAGGAGGTCCATTTCTGAGCTCTAATATTTTAAACAAAATAGCCACGGCAGTATTCAAAATAAGCTTAAAATAGACTAGACTGAATAATGGTCTGTTAAATTGCAATAAATAGAGAATTAAAACTTAAATAAGAAGATGTTGAGAGAGGAACTCGTAAATTCTCCTTTATTGGATCAGAATTTGCTCAAATCCCATCATTTTGCAACATATTATCCAGCATCAATTAAATCTGTCCCACCGGGTGTTGGACTCAGGCAAATCACTTCTTTTTAATTAAGCTCTTGTGTCCTCATCTGTAAAATTTAGGGATTGCATTAATTCCCAAGATTTTTCTCCTTCAGTTCTATGGCTCTGTATATGCTCCAAGTTACTTCCTTTAATAAAACTAAAACTTAACACTTCAGAGACTAACAAGATGCTAACTCATCAGCCATAGCGTACACAAGGAAAACACTTGGGAGTCCGCCGTGGTCTGTTTATATCTCCTGCCCAGGATTTGTTCTTCCCAGTCAGTGGTAGCATTTCTGGCACGTTGGACCACATCTACCCATGAAACCCAGTGTCAGTCTCTGTCATGTAAGATCAGCTTTCAGAGGATTACAGAATTGTAATTTTAATTCCCGGGTGGATGTGGAACTCGTATAGTGAATTCTGTTTTCCTGGAATGTGTTTTCAAGAGACCTGATTAGACCTTTAAAAACGTCTCTCCTAACTTGGGCTGTCTCCCAGGTTACCTCTAAAGCCAGGATTCTTAACCAGAGGTCCACAGACAGAATTCATGGGGTCCATGAACTTGGATGGGAAAATATATGTCTTTATTTTTCACCAAGCTCTCAGTGAAACATAGCTTTTTCTTTAACTTTGGCTAGGTCGCGAACAACAGTGGTCAATATCTGTGGCTTTCTCATCAATGGAAATCATAGATGTTTTGTTATGATAGCTCAGGCTATCACTTGCACTCAGCACTACAATGTTGTCAGATCCATCTCTAGATCCTGTGATTTAATATCAGAATAAAATAGCACATGTCGTTTTCTGAGAAGGGGTTCATAGACTTTACTAGACTACTAAGGGTTCTGTCGCACAAAGAAGCTAGAACTCCTGCTTCAGAAGGGTCACGTAGAAGAGGGTCTTTGATTCCACTGTGATTCTGGTGTGTGGTTTCTGCTAAAGGAACAAATTAAAGAAAATATAGCCATTGAGACTAGGAGCTGTAGAGGAAAGCATATAGGCTTGATGATCAGACCTGTGTTAGGACCCTGCTTCAGTGAGACCCGAAGCAAATGCTTAACTTCTCCAAGCCTCAGTTTCCCTACTTGTGCAATGAGATGATTCTTTCTTTGTAGTGCCTTTAGGATTAAAATGATACAGAATAGTAAATGTTACTTAGGAATATTAGATTCCTTCCTTTTTCAGCACTTTCCTTTAAGTGGAAATGAGTTCTTCCACTATCAGATATTACAACTGAGTTATTCTCTGATTGAATGTGAAGCAGTAGCATAGGGTGCAAATTTTTTCTTCTAAGTTACTCCCCATTTGAAAAGGCATATTATAAGGTATTAACATTGCATTTGTGGTTTTAAAAATCATTCATCTGCCTTCCAGGGAAGTAGGGTGGTTTAAGAAGAAGCCGCAGGAAGCGGATGTACCACAAGTACTTGTCTGCTACTGTTGTCTCAGGCACTCTGCGGGGCACTGAGAACAGAGAGTAACACAAGGGGACTTCAGACTTAAGGAAGCTAATGGAGTGAGGGAGAGAGACCCACCAACCGATAGGATGTGGTAAGAGGAGGAATTGTGAGAGCATACAGAAGGAAGACAATGTTGCTTCCAGGGCACTGGTCCTATAGACAGTTGGCATGGATGCTTCCTTATCCATCCGTCCACTCAAGGTCGGAACATACAGCAAGCAACTCTTCGTAGGTTCCTAAATAGATGTTATTACCAGAGAGTCTGGGGAAGCTCTGGGTAGACCAGGGGTAGGCAAACTTCTTCTTTCAAGGGTCGGATAGTACATATTACCAGCTTTGCAGTCCATACTGTCTCTGTCGCAGCTACCCAACTCTGCTGTTGTGGCAGAAAAGCAGCCATAGACAATCCACAAGCAAGGAGTATGGCTATGTTCCAACAAAGCTTTATTCATGGGCACTGAAATTTGAATTTCTTGTAATTTTCACACATCAGGAAATATTGGTCTCTGGGTTTTTTCCAGCCATTTAGAAATGTAAAAACCATTCTTAGCCGTTCAAAACACATCATGGAGTGTAGTCTGCTGACCCCTGAGTTAGAACTAGGAGAGTCGGCCAAGGAGGGATGTGACATGGACAGTGAGGCCACTCTCAACGCATGGCCAATGTAAACAGGGAACTCTTCCATGCCTCGGATCACAGCACGGCTTCTTAAAGAATTGAGAAGCATGAGACAGGCTGGGGAAAAGGGACTTAGGAAAGGGGCAGGAACGTGTACCCACAGAGAAAGTGCCACTTTGAAGCTGGATCTAAAATGCAAGACAAGGAGATGCACCAGGAGAGCTGACCCCAGTGTAGAGCAACGTCGCTGTGCACTGGGCCGGCCTCAGGCAGCACACCGGCAGCTGCAGAAGGCAGCGCGTTTGCTGTAATGGGAGCAGCACACGCTGCTGCAGTGACCCGTCCCTGAGGAAATGCAGCGAAGTTCTGCAGGTCCACTGCAGCCAGCGAGGAAGAGCCTGTAGGAGACCCTAGAAAGAGGCAGATCTCGGCGAGGAGTCCCATGAAGGAGGACAGGCTAGGATTGCGCCTGTGGCCAGCTGACTGAAAGGGCCAACAGTCAACCCTCCTGCCCTCGCTTACCGACAGGCCTGCTGTAGTCATCTAGTTTGCACCACGCCACTGGCTGCTGAGTGACAACCTCCACCCCAGCCTGGGCTTCGAGGCCAAACGCAGCCCAGATCCTTGGCTCCTGAACGGGGCTTCACTGGGGTTCTCAGAGCTGTTCATTTTCCAAGAGAATCTTGAGTTTTCTTCAATGACTTGCTGACAGGATAGCTAAAGGCAGATGAAGCCATAAAATGAGAAATATTATGACAGCCTTCCCCAAAGTTGCCTGCCTGCCCAACCAATTTTTTTTTCCTAACAGTTCTGCCGAACAGCTGTGCATGGTACTGTTTATTTTATTAATAATGTTTGTTTTCTCCCTCATACTGTATGTCATCAGTTGACATTTCGGAGGCTCCCGTTTATTCTCTGTAGAGCTGTCTCAGGTTCTCCTTGTACCTTGCCATAAAGAGGTAAATCCTGTTTGATGGTACCGAAAAGACCACCTATTCCCTGAAAGAGGCCAGCATGACAAAGAACTTTGCCTTCAGTTTGCCCTGTGGAACCAAAGCCCTAAGGCGTGGGAAAAGCCAGAGGACCTCCCGTTGGTTGTGGCCTCCCTGGCCTCTCTAGAAATGTAGGTCGTGTGGACATAGATCTGCTTCTGTCTGGATCGTGGAATCCGAGTGACCACAAGCTTCTAGAGGCCCCAGGTCATCCAGAGCAATCTGTGAGGCTCCCAAGAGACACTTGACTCTGTTTGAATGGTGTCCTGGGAAGCCAGAAACCAAAGGAGGATGCCAACTTTAAGTCAGTGCAAAGCAGGGCAGCCCCCGAGCCGTGGATTGCCAAATAAAATTTTTAAGTAGGCCCAGATGACCTCTGTTGTTGTCCAGTGAGCCAGTTCAATATTCAGTATTTAACTGGAGAGTTCTATTGTTGGAGAAATCATGGGATAGAAGTTGGACCACCTGGCCCAGGGGGAAGGGGGATATTGCTTTACGAACTGTTAAAATCCCAATAAGTGTACATCACAAATAGATGCTTTGAAAACCCATATCTAATTGGAAAACACATAGGAAGGACTGAGACATGCTTAGAGGCACACTGACCGCCTGCATCCGTTGCATGCCTTGTGCCAGAGTTGTTTTCCATCATTTCTGGGCGGGTCCTTTGGAGTCCGTCTCATGCCTGCCCTAGTCACCATCACCCAGCGCGGTCCACTCTCATCATGTCACTGCTGCTTGCAGGCCTTGGAGACAGTGACTGGGGCAGGCTTATTTGGCCAGCATGGCCTTAATTTTTGGAAAGCTCTGTGTTGGTGTAAGAGGAACTCTCAGTACTGAAATACCCCAAGAAATGAAGCTGGGGACACTCTGTTTAGACTTTTGGCCGTTTGCAGACAGACGGGCACACTCAGGACTCTTGGGCGCCTGGCATGCTGGAGACAGAAGGGGCTCTGGAGACATCTTGTCCATCTCTCCTCCCTCCCTATCCCCAGCCTTTTTAGAATTGGCCAAGTAAAATCAGTCCACATGTTTATGTCCAACTTAATGTTCTGTGTACAGGAAAAACCATTACAAAGTTCACTGGATGTAAAATTGTTGTTCAAGAAAGTTATTTTACTACTTTTCTTCCAAATTGTGTGCAGTAGTTAATGAGAGCTAAAGAAGAAGCTGCAACTGGCAACTAATAATAATAATAATAATAATTTCAGCTTTCCTAAGCAGGCTCCCTCCCTGGTGACTCCTTTATAAGCTTCAGGGAAGAGCTCCATTTCTCTCTTTCCACTTCGTTTTACTATATGCTGAACTGAACCTGAAGAAACACAAATGGAGTCCTTTTGTAAAAACTTTGGTGTTACCTCTCTCTGGAGTTACTAATCATGTGAAAGTAATATCAAACCCTGAATCTGTAATGCCGTGAAAGATAATTCTCAGCCCTGGGCTTTGAAAAAAGTACCAAAGGGAAAAGCCCTTTCAAGTTTACATAAAGACAGAAGAAAATCAGTATAAATATAAAGACACACATACACATAATCGTGGAAGGTAGGTTTCACCCCTATAATGGATAAGGAAATCAAAGCTCAGTGAGGTGAGATGACAAGAATTCTGTCAGCCTGTTCCATGTCTGTGCTGTTTTTTTTTTTTTTTTAACCTTAAGGGTGATGAATTTAAGGAGAATTTAAATCCATAATTTTTTACCCCAATTTTAACATGGCAAAACACAACCTTCTTTGGAGAGGATCAAGAACCACGGTTTCGTACTGGCTATCACATCTTTGCAGCACAAACCCAGCAACAGAATCCATTTTGCTGCCAAAGACTTTGTGTGGCCTCTGGTCCCCCTAAGCTAGAGCAGCCGGGTCACAAACGTGGCTACCACGTTCCTGCTTCAGTATTCTAGACCTATGGCATCTGTGCATGGAGAAGGTCCCATCAGAAGTGCACAAATTCATTCAGCAATGAAGACTTAAAATTACCTACTGGGTTAGGATGATTCTCTAGGAATCCACCGTGTGGTCTGTTTGCGTCAGTTAAGCTTTGTGTATACATTCTAGTTACATTGTCAATTTTCCGGCTTTAACATATTTTTCCCTGCTCTCTTTGCCTCTTTAATTTCATCTATGTGGATAGCTAGAAGAGTATGATGTACCTTTTAAATTAGAAACAGTTTCTGAAATGAAGTATGATGCCTAGTTTAGCACATTTCCTGCCCTAGTTGCAATTAAATGTATCCAGCATTTGACATAAAATAGCTGGCCCATTATCTTTAGAGTACAAATTTGAGGCAGTCCGCTTAGCGTGGGCCATTGGCCCCATAGAATTCACCTTTGTAGAAGGTGAGGAAATGTATATTTTGTTAAAATCAGTATCTGCCTGCCAAAGGAGGAGAAAAAGCCCTTTGCCAGATGTGTTTTCAGTCAATTTCCTTTCCTGGGAAACAGCCATTTCCCCTGCATTACCAGCGGTGTTTTCATTCGTGGAGCAGACAGAGTAAGTGCAGCGCATTAAAGGACAGAGGCCCCGATAGCATCAGCCTTATCTGTGACAATTATCTTTCTTCTTGCAGCTGTGTAACTTCTGTCTGACAGCAAACCATAGGAACTGTGTGTTAGAGTTAGTACTGATGGAAGAATCAGAGTTGATAATATTCATGTGGCTTCTCAGATGGTCGCCATTCTTATTTAGGTTACTTCAATTAAAAAAGTACCAAATCCTCGTCATTCTAACTTATCTGAGTATTTCGTGTGAAGTGATGTCCGAGGACAGTTAGAGACGACTTCTTTACAGTTGGCACTCCCACAAACCGGCACAGCATCTGCTAAAGAATGTTTGTTTTTCAAAGCCACACTGTATATAATATGTAACCTTAAAGACTTTGAGAAGAAAAGACTTTTTGTTTACTAGAAACTTGGGAAATATCCAAGTGACTATTTTTTTTAATATTTCGTCATGAATTCCCTGAATTTTTAGGAATATTTTAGTTTATACAATTCTCCTGTTACAAAAAGTTATCTCAAATGCTGTTTGATTTTTAAATATTTTTGTTCTCTAATATTTTTATGGAATAGTTTATCTTCCCATCAAAAAAATGCCTAAAAGGTCGAGATACAAGTCATAACTTTAAAAAGGCAGAGGATGAAATTCTAAAACAATAGATGAGTGCATTAGCCTGATAATATTTTTGCCAGTAATTCTGTGTCCTGTTTTTTCCCCTGTAGAAAAAATGCTAAACATTTTCTTTCAGTGGATTGATGTCAATGTTTACTGTTTTACGCACAACCAATGTAAAGTCAATAAAATCTTTCCTTTGGCTAAGACAATATTTCATTAGAGATTTTGAGGTGGGCTGATGAGTTATAGTTTTAATTAGATGTTCCTAAATTCATTTCAACAAGATTGTAAAGAATTCAAATTCTATTGCTTCTGAAAAATGTCTAGTCTCGTCATAATCATTTATCTGAATTTCTCTACAAATGAATTTTATTTTG